CAAGTGCAAAGAGAGTTTGTGTAAGCATCTGCCTCCCTTTCAGCAGCTAGTCCTTATCGCAATGCCATGGATACAATGTTTGCCATAGCACTTTGAATGCAGTCCAGCTGCTTAATAGGGTGATAGAGTGAATTGCCATAACTTTTCATAGTGTGAGTGTGCAGATGCCTGGTTTGATGGTAAAGGTAAAGGGACCCCTGACCATTAGGTCCAGTCGTGACCGACTCGGGGGTTGCGGCGCTCATCTCGCTTTATTGGCCGAGGGAGCCGGCGTACAGCTTCTGCGTCATGTGCCCAGCATGACTAAGCCGCTTCTGGCGAACCAGAGCAGCGCACGGAAAAGCCGTTTACCTTCCCGCCCGAGCGGTACCTATTTATCTGCTTGCACTTTATGCTTCCGAACTGCTAGGTTGGCAGGAACAGGGACCAAACAATCCCTGTGGCGGGGATTCGAACCCCGACCTTCTGATTGGCAAGCCCTAGGCTCTGCGGTTTGCACCACAGCGCCACCTATTTGATTCTACTGAATGGCAATTCTCATGCATCACTTCAGACAGAACGATGGTCAAAATGGGATAACTGAGGTGAATCAAGACACATGACAAAGTGAGGCACTTGGCGGTGCAAAGCAGTCTAATCTGGACTCAGGTTCACTATCCCACGTGAGGGGAAAGGATTGCTTGTTATCTCCAGCCAAACATCATGCTCACCTCCTACTTCCTTGGGTGTGGGCTGTGCACAGAGTAGTACTAATGGGGGCAGATGCACGGATGCTTAGTCATAGTTTTGAGTCCTTTTTCTGTATTAAAGTGCAGTAGGACTAGTTCAAGACGCTTGTAGCCTGAGGTGAAGAACAAGATGACAAGCTCCCATTCCGTGTCCAGAAGCTGACTGAGCTGGTAGCTGGATCTTGTTTTAACTCTGGCAACGAAACTTGGTTTTCTCCTGCTCTTGAGGGCAACAGACTAGCTTAGGGGGCTCAGAAGTGGTCACGTGGCACACAGCTCTGTCATTCACCATCTCAGTGCCACTCCTCACTCCACCACGATGGCTGGGGACTTTGCTTGGGACAGCTTTTAAAATGACTTTGTCCTCCAGCCACAAGTGGAACTCCAAATCTTAATGCACTTCTTCAAGCTTGGGTGACTCAAGCTTCAGGTTTGACTGCTGAATGTAGATTTCTCATTATCATTTCATTACCTGGAAATGTATTGGAGTTTATGTGGATCAGAAATTCCTTAAAGGGATTCAGGTATTTGGATTTTGTTTCTGACTCGTCTCTGATGCAGAAGCAAAGGACAAAGTTAATGGGAACTTTGAACACAATATTTTGCTCCTTAATAATTCATTTTCAACAAATGGTCACAATATTTGGCGGCAGCATTGATGAACCAACTTGCACATATTTCTCCTGGAATACTGAAGCCTTTAAGTTACCAGGGTGCCGTTTCAATCAATTGAGCTACAGTAAGAGGTAATGATAATCAGGGGTAGAGGTTGCTCTGAAACAATAATCTCAAGTGATCTGAAACATGGGGTTATATCCTGTCTTGGTCATACTAGCAGTAGACACATTGAAGTTAATGGACATGATTAACTTAAGTCCATTAATTTCCATGGTTCTACTCTGAGAAGAACCTACTTGGATACAAACTGCAGGAGGGAAGAATGATTTCCACATGCCCCTTCCTCTAAATGCCCATGCAATTTCATGGACTAGCTAGCAGAGCAGTAGTCTTCAGTATTTTTGAGCACCTGCCTTTAATCCAGGCATAGGCAAACTCAGCCCTCCAGACGTTTTGGGACTACAACTCCCATCATCCCTAGCTAACAGGACCAGTGGTCAGGGGTGATGGGAGTTGTAGTCCCAAAAACATCTGGAGGGCCAAGTTTGCTTATGCCTGCTTTAAACCAAACATGCATTTGGGAACCCAACTCTTTTCCTTTCTTTCATATATTTGTCTGGTGCTACTGTTGTGACCGACCTTAGACCAGGCCACAAGCTGAAAGTGGGACCCAACCCAGTTGAAGACTGGGCTGCTTGTTAATCTATATTTCTCTATTGCTTTGTAAATCTCTATTTCTGGTACCCTGTGCCTCTGTGAAGGTGCTGTGGAGTTCCTTTTGAATGGCCCATACAATGCCGCCACCCCGCAGAAGCCTTTAACTGGTGGCGTTGCCATTCACTCAAGATTAAGGATGTCTTTGCCTTCCCAGCTGACCGTAGTTAAAAAACTTCTCTGTTTCCAAAATGGCTCTGGGGCTGGTGGTAGCAGTTGCCAACGCGTGCTTTTAATTTCAAATCTCATTCAGCCTTTTTGTATATAAGCATTCAGGTGAGTGCCCGCTGTCGCCTCTAATTTAAAAAGACCCCGTCGCCTCCTTGTGACTCCCGGTGCTTCCGGAGAGGGTTGCGCTGTTGCGCTATCCTGCGGTGTGTTTTCTCGCTCCTTGCACCTGACTGGCACAGCATAAATGTAGGCTGCCGGAGTCTGCTGAATCAAGCTCTTTTGAGAGTTGTAATTGGGCCAGCGAGGAACAATGAAACCATATTGTGGTTTTTGAGATCAAATAAGCTGAGCAAACTCCCGCAATTGCCGCCATATGTTTGTGACAGCAGCGGCTCTTCCTAGCCGAGCGCAGCAGGCGCAGACTGAACAGCATGGCTGGGGGCGGGGGGTTTGAGCCTTAAGCTTTCAACCTCCCTTCTTTCAGGCTTCTTGTTTGTTTAATCTTTGAAGCTGAAAAATCTCCAAGAACAGCAGCTGTGACGCGCTTGAGAACCAGAACAAAAGGTAGCACTGTCAGAATAGGGCCACGAAGCCTGCTCCTCAGCTCCCGAAGATAGGTTTACAAGGGCTCTATGGAAAGGGAGGGGGCAGGGCTGTGGGGAGATGTGTATTGTGAAGTTGAGATGGTTGGGTGTAGAATAAATAAATAAAGTAACAAGCTCTGATGCATGCATGCCATGGGCCATTATGCAGAAACAAAACCTGTCGCTTCCCCCTGAGAAAAACCTTTAAAAGCATTTGACCCACAAAGCGGCTTAAACATGCCTGACAGCAGGTGGTCAACAAACAAACAAACAAACAAACAAACAACTTTTATATGCCACCATCATTAAATTGGCCTGGTGCCTTTCAGGTGTTTTGGGCTACAGCGCCCTATTGCAATTCAAAACATCTTCCAGGAACTAGGTTGGCGAAGGCTGAACATTTCAGAGCTATGAAGTGGAAGCCCCTTTTTCAAATCTCAGCTTGGCACTGAACCCCCTAAATGACCCTTATCCCTCCTGAGATTCAGTCTTACATACCTAATAACTTTGACTGAATCAAGGCTGTGGTGATTTTTATGCAAGTAGGTTGTTTAAAAAAAAAAGTGTGGATTTTTTTTTGTAAGTGAACCTACCGTATTTTTTGCTTTATAAGACTCACTTTTTCCCTCCTAAAAAGTAAGGGGAAATGCGTGTGCGTCTTATGGAGCGAATGCAGGCTGCGCAGCTATCACAGAAGTCAGAACAGCAAGAGGGATTGCTGCTTTCACTGAGCACCGATCCCTCTTGCTGTTCTGGCTTCTGAGATTCAGAATATATTTTTTTCTTGTTTTCCTCCTCCAAAAACTAGGTGTGTCTTGTGGTCTGGTGCATCTTACAGAGCAAAAAATACGGTACCTTCCTGCTCTGCTTGTTGAAAGTGATATGTCAGGATATTTGATGCCCCTTACAAGGCCAGTCTGGAAGACAGTGTCCCCAGAAAGATTCTGTGCCCAGGAGATTGCCTGTCCACCAGTGTGTGAGGGAAGCTGTCCAGACACTTCAAACGCTTTCTCTGATTATTCAGAGCATTCAGAAAGATATCAACAGGCCCAATAACCAAGCCAAACGCCTTGGCCAGATTCTGCTGCATCCAGCCCAGGTACCAGTTCTTTTCGCATATCTCCTCAGGCCGCACTGCTGTTCTCCTTCGTAATATCAGCCATGCCATCCAGGGTCATTCCCCAACGCAGTGCGTCCTTGTCAGCATTGCTCTTCTGTGGTCAACGCAGGACAAGCAAGTCAGTCTCTGCACAAAGGAGCAAATGGGAAACGGATCTGACATAAAGAAACGGCAACATTCAAAGCAACAAGTGGGCGAACATTTCAGTCTCCCACTTTGCTCACTGACCTGGCAGTTGTCAGTCTAAAACAAAGGAACTTCAAAGGGAGACCACAGTGTGAAGCTGTTGGACTAGAATTTATCAGGGAATTTGATTCTATTTATTTAGCCTTGAATAGAGACAATGGCATCCCCTCTCACTACAGGGGTGAGTTAACGTACTGCCATAGTGAATTGCCACTTTACTTATCTTATATACATTTGAACGTTGCACACAATTGTCTCAGACTGGGCCTCTCGCTGTTGTTTTGCGCCACTGTTTATATCTCCCCGCCCCCCCCCCCCGTTCCCATTGTGCATACTTGCCAACTGAGGAGAACAGTTCGTGCACCTGACAAGGTTGGCCGTCGTCCACAGAATTTTATGCCATGATAAATCTGTTAGTTTTTAAGATGACGTAAGACTGTTTTTGTTTTGTTTTTGCGGCAGCCAACTAAGACAGCTACATGTCTGGACAATTTTACGGAAGATGCACTGAAAATTTGCTTACCATTCTGTAAAAATAAAATTGGGCACCTGCCCTGTGGAACGCCCTCCCAGCAGATGTCAAAGAGAAAAACAACCACCAGACTTTTAGAAGACATCTGAAGGCAGCCCTGTTTAGGGAAGCTATTAATGTTTGACGGACTATTGTATTTTAATATTTTGTTGGAAGCCACCCAGAGTGGCTGGGGAAACCCAGCCAGATGGGCGGGGTATAATATTATTATTATTATTATTTTGCCATGAAAGTTGGCCTCCAAAACCACCTCAGTTTGCCCTGATTCTTCCACCACCAATTCCAATGAGTATTTTGGTTGCAGTTCCTAGATCATATATATTGACTATCTTTAATTATCCCAACAGGAACGCCAGTGGCATCCAATGGTAGGTTATCGGTTGAGTTAAGTTAATTTTTGTTACAGCATCCTAGAAGAGCTTTTATCGTGCTGCCTTTCTTACTAACCGTGCATGGGCGTGTGCTTGCTGGTTTCTGTCCACTTCTCTAAAGTTTATCCTGCATCTAAAACCTTGCACTATATATATATTCTTCACACAATTATTGGGGAGCAGAGCTGGCCCCTTTGGCCCTGGCCCTCCCCAGGCGCCCATTCATTGGGGCACACATCTGAACTGGCAAAGCCTGTGCTGAAGCAGCTGCTGGGTGTGTGGTCTTCGACACAAGGAGGCCACCCATGGGATCAGGAGAGCCACTTGCATGGAAGCCTAGGAGCAAGCAGCTGCTCACCCAAAGGCTTCATAGAGGCAGGTATCTGGTCCCACACATGGATGCCTAGGAGGTGGGGTCAGCAACAGGGAATCAGCAATTTCTAGAGTTGGAAGGGTCCACGAGGATCACCTAGTCCAGCCCCCTGCAGTGCAGGAATTTTGCCCAATGTGGGGCTCAAACCCACGACCCTGAAATTAAGAGTCTCCTGCTCTACCAACTAAGCCAGGGGTTGGCAACCTAAGGCCCATGGGCCACAAGCGGCCCACTGGGGTTGTTTAACCGGCCCACAAGCCACTCCCGAACTGAGTGGCCCGCTCGGTGAGTCCCTGCACACTGTTCTAAACTGGCTCAGCGTGGCACGGGGATTTGCTTCCATGGCGCCGGAAATCGCGCCTGTGCATACACAGATGCCGGCAATTGCGCGCGCACAATCCGGCCCACGGAGGGATCTCCGCTGGAGTGAACCGGCCCAGGCGAGGTAAACCTTGCCAACCCCTGAACTAAGCTATCCCAGCACATGCCTGGGCACAAAACCAGTATCATAGTTGGCATTTACACGGAGCAAACCGGTTTCTACCAAGTTTACATAAGCCAGTGGTGAGGAACCTCGGGAGCCAGATGTGGCCCTCCAGGCCTTTCTGTTTGGCCCTCCAAACTCTCCCCAGGCCACACCACTCACTGGCCCTGCTTTGCACCCCAAAGAGTGTTTGTCTGGCTGCAATTTGCCTTCGAACTCCCATTATACCTCTTGCTTGGACGGAAGATAGAGATGTGCCTGAGTAGAAACTAGCCTACCGTACAAAGGCAAAGAATTACATTTGTTGCTTCAGCTACTTTTGCTTCTGACCTCACCTTCCCACTGGCATGTGATCCTCAGAAAGTTGTGCAGAAGTTGCCTCTGTCCCCACAGTAAAAGCATTAATTATCGTGCACTGTTTCCAAAACATTTTGTAATATTGTTTTGAAGATATCCAGATCTCTTCTGAGTTGATGCCAATAACCAAAGAAATGCTAACAATTTTGTAAGGGTTAAATATAATTGGTTCATGGTACGAAAGCCTAACCCGCGAAAACTGAATAGGAGTGCTTTTTCCTTCGCCATTTCAACAGCCATCTCTGCATGAGATATAAACTGATTATTTGTGAGAAAATCTGCATATGCTTTAATTAGTAAAATTTTTTCCTCTTCCAGGCAAGAACAGGTCAGTGTTCTGTATCAGAACATCAATATCGTGGAACCACGATTAATTCAACCTTATGAGCATGTTATTAAGAACTTTATTCGAGAGATCAAGCTTCAGAGTGCAGAGATGGAAAACTTAGCCATAGCTGTAAAAAGGTAAGAGTCAAATGTTTTGTACTTCACAGTGAAACGATTACCATTTTTGCCTGCAGTACATGGTGTTGTTTAAAGTCACACGATAATGTTAATGGCAGCATTCAACTGCCAAAATTTCACTGTGTGTCGGATGAGGCTGGTGGGTGTGAGAAGTCCAAATTAGCATTGGTTGTCCTGGAGTCTCTGAGAAGCTGAATGAAATGCTTAAGATCCAAAGGCAGACTATTAGCCCAATATCATTCTTTTTCATGCTATGTTTTTTCCTTGCAATCATGGGGTTATCTCCTCAGAGTAGACCCACTGAAATTAATGGACACAACCAACTTAAGTCCATTCATTTCAGTGAGTATAACATGGCTGGACACAACCAAAATTCCTTCCTTATGGAATCAGGATTGTAACTTTAAAAAAAATGTCCTGTCAGAAGTCTGTTTTACTTTAAAGTTATACCTTTGAACACACATATGTAAAAAGGAAATAGTTATCAGTTGTAGACTGTTCAAGCAGTATGCCATCCAGGCTGATGTGACTGGGGAAATGTGTTTGAACTTTTTGTTGCTGATGGTATATATCCAATATTATTCCATGAGAAGCAACAGTTTTATGTCTCACACATATATCCAATATTATTCCATGAGAAGCAACAGTTTTAGGTCCCAGCTGATCTACCTTTTTGTGGTAACACATCATAGGAAGTTGGCAGCAGAAAGGGAAGCGGAAAATGAAGCTGCCTTCTTTGTGCTGCCGTTAGAAGATGTTCAGAATGGTGTGTGAAAAACCACTTCACATACAGTTCTGCACATCATTTGCAGTCACAGCCTTGGTAATTGGATGTCCTAAGCAGTTACAATGCTTGGGATATCTGTGTAGCATGTACCATGCTAAGATAATTCGGTTGCTTTTAATGACAGTAATGAGAATCAGGTGACTTTAATTTGGAGTTGCCGGTCTGCACTATATACTTAAAGCAGTATCATACCACTTTAAATGGCCACGGCTTCCTGTCTGAGAACTGCAATTCGTAAGAGGTGCTGGGAGTTGTTAGGAAACCTTCTGTTCTTTCCAAAGTGCTGTGATTCCCAGAATTTCCTGGAAAGTGGTACTGTCTGATGAACTACTCTGTAGATCAGGCATGTCCAAAGTCCATTTTGGGGGCCTAATCAGGTCCACCAGTCAGTTTAATGCAGCCCTTGTGGCAGTTTATTTCCTGGGGTAAAATCCTAAAACAACCTCAACAACTTCAACCCTAAAAAAGCTCAACAACTTCAACAACTTTGGTTATCCCTTTGGTCAGCCCTTATGGCCCTTCACTTCATCAAATCTGGCCCTCTTTGAAGAAAGTTTGGACTCCACTGCTGTAGATTGTAGCTCTATTACTGGCATAGGGATCTCAAACTTCAAGCACTCTTTACGAACTACAGTCCCCAGAATGCATTGGGGGGGGGGCTGTTATTGTTTAAAGTGGAATGATGCTGCTTTGCAGATGAGACCAAGGTCTTTGTTCACCTTTCCCCAGATGCCTGACTTGGAACATCTTGAGCCACCGATTCAGGTTAGGGATGGAACAAACCATGTATTCTCAATTTTCTTTGAAGTTTCTCAAGATGGCCTTGTGTGAATGCTTACATTTTAGAGCACAAGATAAAGCAGCAATGCAGCTTGGTGAACTAGAAGAGGAGATGGACCAGAGAATACAGGCTGCAGAGCATAAAATCAAGAAGGAGGTGAATAGTTGATGTTTATAGCCCTAATATTTCTTTTAGAACTGGCTTCTCTGCTTAAGAAAATTAGTGACGAGATTCTGGCTTCTGTGCCTGAGGCGTCATACATGAAACCTTTCTCTGCATTCTTTCTCCTCCCAATTTGCCATGGATATGAAAGGTATGAAGGTCAGAGCTTTCTCCACCTCAGTTTTTGGGTGGGGAGCATTAATACGGAAAGGGTGGCTGGGGTGGTGCTGTTTTCAGTGCCTGTGAGAAACATTTTTTAGGCCAGATAGAGGCTGATGTGCATTTTAATTGGAACTTTTCTTTTCTTAAATGCACATTTTTGGTTGTATCTATACCAAGAGTTTTCTTTTAGCTCAGCTTTTGTGTGTGTGACTTTTCTGAGAAATTGCCTGATCCACATGATGCGCAAGCAACTTGCCTGCTGTGTGGCAGCAGTCAGCATACAGTTCCCTTGAATGTGGTGGCTCTGAAACAGGCCCTAATAGAAGAATTAGAACTAGTTGTTTTCTGACTAGTAGTAATATAGAAGTTTTAAGCTGCTGCATTTCAGTGTTTCATTCCTAAGTACCATATTTTTTGCTCTATAAGACGCACCAGACCACAAGACGCACCTAGTTTTTGGAGGAGGAAAGCAAGAAAAAAAAAATATTCTGAATCCCAGAAGCCAGAACAGCAAGAGGGATTGCTGCGCAGCGAAAGCAGCGATCCCTCTTGCTGTTCTGTCTTCTGGGATAGCTGCGCAGCCTGCATTCGCTCCATAAGACGCACACACATTTCCCCTTACCTTTTAGGAGGGGAAAAGTGCGTCTTATAGAGCGAAGAATACGGTACCTCCAGACTGCACATTCAACAGAGCACAGGTTCTTTAAACTGCATGCAAGCGACTCTTCCTCCCACCCCTTTCAATTGCTTAGTTACTCATTGAAGGAGCCTCTGAGTTGTCAAAGGTTGTGTCCACAATTGAGAGGGCTTTCTCAGTTGCGCCTAAGGCGCAGGTGATGGACATTGGGCTCTTCAGCTAATGCTGGACTCCAGTTCCCATCTGCTGCATGACCAGTAGTCAGGGATGAGGGGCGTTGAAGTCCAGCGACAAATGGTGGGCCACAGGTTCTCTACCCCAAGCCTAAGGCAAGCTGGCCCAACTTGTGACTTGCTTAGGCAGTTGACCCTACTGGCCATGCATACCTAGGTGTTGATAAACCTTCTCTTTTTGCTGTCTTCCTGGAACTTCACATAGGGGGCTTTTTAAGCATCTAGTTAGGGCCCACTACCTGAGTAGCAGACTACAGTGGTGCCCCGCAAGACGAATGCCTCGCAAGACGAAAAACTCGCTAGACGAAAGGGTTTTGCGTTTTTTGAGTCGTTCCGCAAGACGAATTTCCCTATGGGCTTGCTTCGCAAGACGAAACGTCTTGCGAGTTCTTGCGAGTTCGTTTCCTTTTTCTTAAAGCCGCTAAGCCTTTAATAGCCGCTAATCCGCTAATAGCCATGCTTCGCAAGACGAAAAAACCGCAAGACGAAGAGACTCGCGGAACGGATTAATTTCATCTTGCGAGGCACCACTGTACCTTTCTCTTGTGATGTGTGTAGTGTAGAAGACATCGCAAGTTGTGCAGGCCTGCCTTAAGAGCTTGTGTGTGTGCAGCGATGGAATGGCAGGGCTGCACACCTGACCACATGTGACTTCTAAAATGTCCCTGAGGGTCTGAAGCATTTGAATTAGTAAGGGGGCAGTGGGGTGGAGGCTGTTCTTTGTGAAGTCCAAACCGCAGCTGGTAATTCACAGCTGATCCCACAGATCTCTGAGCACTGGCCTTATCATGGACTTTGAACCCACCTTATAAATGTATCAGTATTTCCCTAAGCACACACACACACAATGGAATGTCTGAGTTGATAAGCATCTTGCCAAGTATCAGTCAATTTACCACCAAGATAGAAATAGCAAGGCTGGCCTGGTGATGACTTATTTCACTTATCATTCTTTACTCTGTCCTTCATTCAGTGCTGCTCGCAATTTTCAGAAGTATGACACCCCAAATGTAAATGCACTCCTTCGGTGATATTTACTTTGTGGGTTAGTACCAAACTATAAATTTTAATGGTAACCATGTACACAGTTATTACTGATGCAGGGCTGACTTATGACACAGTCACCTCGTATTTTGTGTGCTTGCTTGTCAGTGCCATGGGATTTCCCTGCACTTCTTTTCATATTGTGGGTTGCACAAACATGTATCCCTGAGCATATGTCCAACTCTCACACATGCATAGCCATGTGTAGAAACATTAAGGGTAGCCCAAAATATTTTAGTTGCACTGTAATGGGAAGAGATGCTTCCCAGACATGTGATGGTGTAAAAGTGCATTGCTTAAGCCTGCCATTTGTAATTTAACAAATATATCGTGCCTGTAGGAGAAGCGGAAAACAGAAGAGGCTCTGAATGACCTCAAGCGCCAATACGAAGCTGAAGTGGATGAGCTCCAAGTGACGATAAAAAAACTTAAAATGGTAAGTTGTGCTGACTTTTGCGGTCTGGCGTTTGTGACAAATTTATTGGGACTCGATCCTCTGATACGTTCACTGCTATCTTTGAAGTAATTAAGGGCATATCACACTTCAGAGGATGAGCCTCGAACTTCATCTTGCTGGAAGATTGTTTGTAAGATTGAAGTCTATGAGTTGAAGGAGAAGAAGGGCTGCAAAGCCATGCTTTCTGAGACAGGAAGGAACCAGTTGCTTTCAGAGTGCTTTCATAAACGATGATGTCAGGTCTCAGTAAGGGTTTCACTGCACTCAAGACTGCATCTGTGGCACTGTGTGTGTGTGAACTATTTGAGAATTACTGTTTTATATTATCCAAATAACTACATAAAATTCTTAATGTTCACAGTTACTAAAGCAAACTTTAAATAGCCACCCACCTACTGCTTGTGATGGGTGTAAATCCTCTTTAGCTAGTCAGATGGGGAGACGTTCCTTTCATAAATGGAAAAGCAGTCAGTTCCTTGCCTTTGTAGGTTATTGGCCCACCACTGTAGCTCAGGGGCAGAGTATCAGTTTCGCATGCAGAAGATTCCAGGTTCATTCCCCAGTATCTCCAGGTAGTTCTGGGAATGTCCCCTGTCCTGAAACTTTGGGGAACAGCTGCCAGTCTGTGTAGACACAGTGGTTTGACTCAGTAGAAGGCAGCTTTCCATGTTCCACAAATGGGCTAAAGTTGCTAAGAGCAGGCAAGCTGGCAAGAAACTGTTTTTGTGATAGTCGTTTTTGTCTTATTTTCAAGGCTGTACTGAAATGCTTTGTAGTTTGTCTGTTTTTGGTTTTTTAAAAAGCCCCCACTGTACCGCTTGATCCCTTTCTACTGCTCTTCATGCATTCTAATGTGTCCATCAAAGTTATTTTGCTACATCAATCACACTGTCTTTACTGTTTCAGCTTGAAGAGCAATCTAAAAACATTCATCACAAAGAAGATTTGGTGGCATTAAAGAACAGGATACATGATCTGACCTTGGTATGAGCTGCATTATAATTTTCCTACTCGGGGTGATCATTGCGCCTGTCGCGCTTCGATATGATCGGTATCTTTACCACCCATCATATTTAAGTAGCTTGTTGGGCGATGGCATTTTCTTGAAAATTGTTGAGGTTGTAAAGGAGGATGACTGGCATTTCAGAGGGAGAAGAAATTATACTGTTTAAGCTGCGTATATCATGCTTGGGTGTCATTTTCACACATTAGCAATGGAGAATGTATAGGTATTACAGGACTCTGGCTTTTCAAAGTAAGAATAACTTTCTCATTTCTTTCTCCCTGAAAATATTTTTGACCAGTTCTGTTCTGTAGACCCAGTTTCTTAACAAATATTGCCTCAAGCTCTTTAAGTGAGGTTGGGTTAATATTAACTGATCTGGGGCTGGCTAGAATAACTTCCGTGTAGTCACCTCTTCATATTGGAAACCTAATTGGAAAGTACATGTTGGGTTTACTTTTCATTTCATGAAATTTCCATGCTGCCATCACCATTAGCAGACATGGGAACTTACAGCAGTGACTGAAGACATTTTCATGTCTTAGTGGCATTATATGGTATGTCTTCTCTATAGATGTTTGTGGAGGAGTCTCCATGTAGGACTGTAACATGTAGACTGGCCTTGAGGCATTTATGCACTTTAAATGGGCTATGAGTTTGCACATCAAGCATTTTCATATTATCATTTCGTAGTTAGTAGCAGTGAATATTTTATTTTTAGGTATTTTTGAACGTGAATTACATATGTAACAAGTGATTTTTAATCAGTAACATTGTTTTCCCCTGGTTTGTTTTCAGGAAAACCAGAAACTTAAGAAAGATCTTATGGAAGCACAGACAAATATCGCTTTCCTTCAGAGCGAGTTAGATACTTTGAAAAGCGATCTTGCAGATCAGAGCTTGAGTTCAGAAAGGTAAGAGTCTTCAGTAGTCATATTTGTAGAAAATTGGTTATTTAGTTCCCTGTGTATACTCTGGTCAGTAAAGAAAAATAATTGTGCAAATTTTTGTTTTGCAGAGAACTAGAAATGATCAGAGAATACACAGAAGACAGAGATAGTCTGGAGAGGCAGATAGACATTCTACAGTAAGCTGCCAATAAATCACATTTAATTTATGGACTTTTATACTTGAGCACCCATAATAAAATGAGAGAAAAGCAGATGTACTTGGCTGTAATGAAAAGTTTTGCTGGTTCCCTAACCTGCATTTCTGCCCTCCCATTTGATATATTAATTATTATGGCCAGACGGTTAAGCCTTTGGACTGCATTCCTTGAAGGCTGTTTGTTCACATATCAAGAAATCATTGATTTAGTTAGTTATTTAGTGGTTTTGTGGGTTTTTTACATTTATGGGGTCTCTCAGACCTTCAGTATCTTAATTATGCCTTTTTGCTTTCAACTCGAAATCAGCTTTGGCTTTGAATTTAGCGAATTGCTGACAGGTTAATGCCTTTATATCAGTTGCTGCATCACCTGCCAAAGGAACTTGCAAAGTTAAAAAGAACAAGCTAGACCCAGAAAAATAACAGAACAGTCAACCCCCCCTCCCCATTGTAGGACCATTCAGGGAGCATTACGTGATATAGGAAAATCTCCTCCCCTACTTTGGGGTTACTGTAAGAGTCTAAATGGCATTAATGTGATTCCTTATGCTGTCTTTGATGCAATGATTTATACTGATCCATTGTGCCACTATCACAAAAGTCAAGGTCACCTTATTAAACGCCCTGCTATCTGGTGGCTTTCAAAATGCCAGATGATTGAAATTCTACAATCTAATTCTGATACCTTCTGAATGTGAATAATTTTGTTTGTCCTGGCTTGTTTTTTTAGGTCAGCCAACAGGAAACTTCACGACAGCAACGATGGCTTAAGAAGCGCATTAGAGAATAGCTGGAGCATGTACAACAGATCGCTGGTAGGCAGCGACATTGCATAAGCAATATGTTTAAATAATTGTGCAGTAATATAAATATTTGCTCTTGGTTATACCAATATAAGCCGTAAGATAGTGATGGAAATAATGTAGTCATTCTGGTTTGATGCCAAAGTAACTCACAGTGTGATCTTGTGCACTTTTACTCAAAAGCAAGTCCCATCAAGTTAAATGAAGCTTAAAAAGGTAAAGGGACCCCTGACCATTAGGTCCAGTCGTGGCCTACTCTGGGGTTGCGGCGGTCATCTTGCTTTATTGGCCGAGGGAGCTGGCGTACAGCTTCCGGGTCATGTGGCCAGCATGACTAAGCCGCTTCTGGTGAACCAGAGCAGCGCACGGAAACGCCGTTTACCTTCCCGCCGGAGTGGTACCTATTTATCTACTTGCACTTTGACGTGCTTTCAAACTGCTAGGTTGGCAGGAGCAGGGACCGAACAACGGGAGCTCACCCCGTTGTGGGGATTCAAACTGCCAACTTTCTAATCGGCAAGTCCTAGGCTCTGTGGTTTAACTCACAGAGCCACCCGCGTCCCTTAAATGAAGCTTACTCCATGGTAAATTAGGAATTATGGTTGCCACCAGAGAGTATATGTTGTTCTCTTCTGCAAAGCTAATGTACTGGAACTTTTCTCCATATAGGTTAAATTATGTTTCAGTCACATAAGGAAAAACAGGTGGGCAAAAAACAAACAAAAGCCCCTCACATGGAAATCCTTCATTTACACTATTTTGCCCCTGATTGGACCACAGAAAAGGGGCTCAATGCTGTTCAGCTAGTGTAGCTCTTGCTTTGCGTTTTATCTAGTGTCAAAGTGGACCAGACTTCTGCTTGCAAAGCAGGATGTTACCTTCTTCTCTTCACCCCACAGCCCTCTGTGCAGCCTCAAAATCAGTTTCGGGGTGGGGGAGATTGTTGCCCTACCTGCCCAATGTTCAATACTACCCTTTGGTTTTGAACATTCCAAATTAACAAAAAAATAAATGTCCAGAATCAGGACTACCATTTGTTAGCTAAAGAGTACAGTGGTACCTTGGTTTGCGAACTTAATCCCTTCCAGAAGTCTGTTCTTAAACCAAAGCCTTCTTAAACCAAGGCGTGCTTTCCCACAGCAGCTGGGGACTCAATTTACAAATGGAACACACTCAACAGGAAGCGAAACATGTTCTTATTCCAAGGCAAAGTTTACAAACCAAAACACCTACTTCCGGGTTTGCAGCTTTAATCCAAGTTGTTCATAAACTAAGCTGTTCTTAAACCAAGGTAGCACTGAAGCCAGGTGTTCTGAAAAGCTTTCTTTACCTATATTTTTCAGCGTCTGACAAACACTTCTCCAGGGAATACTCTCGCCAGAAGCAGTCCCAAATGCAGCGGTGGCCAATCTCCCCAAAATCCACGATATGACAGGTAGAACTGATACAGGTGTTACTTTTATTTTTTTCAGATCTTAGCAATTTAAAGGAGACCTTTCAGGCTCTGATCCTTTAAACACATGCACTTTCTGAAAATACTTTTCGCTGAAATTGATGAGACTTGGTTCTAAGCTACTGTGTTTCGAGGCCCGCAATGCCAGCAGAGCATCACAGTTGGAAAAAAGTTAGAGCTAAGCGTCTTCCCTCTGTATCCATTCTGTGTTTGTGTGTGATGGGGGAAGCCACTGTTCATTGGAACTTGCCCTATTTAAATCTAGGAGGACTGGGAATGCTTAATGCCTTTCTGAGACATGTAAAGAGCACAGACTCACATCCCTAATCTTCCGTTTTAAGTGATTAAAGTGGCTGGTAGATCCAGACGCGTTGATTGGCTGCCTTACCCCATGCTGCTCTCTAGTGGAGTTAATGATCAGCGAGCAACAAGGGACATGCTTCTGCCAGCTGACTATTAGGAACAACTCGTTTGGATTCCATCCAGAGTAAAGTTAGCACTTCCCATACATTAACTGTTCTCGGCATTTCTACCCGGATGAATAATTTTGCAAACTTGGGGTTGGCACTGCAAGCGTTTCTAGAATATCATGTGGTACAGTGGTGCCTCGCAAGACGAAATTAATCCGTTCCGCGAGTCTCTTCGTCTTGCGGTTTTTTCGGCTATTAGCGGCTTAGCAGCTATTAGCGGCTTAGCGGGCTATTAACGGCTTAGCGGCCATTAGCGGCTTAGCAGCTTTAAGAAAAAGGAAACAAACTCGCAAGAACTCGCAAGACGTTTCGTCTTGCGAAGCAAGCCCATAGGGAAATTTGTCTTGCGGAACGACTCAAAAAACGGAAAACTCTTTCGTCTAGCGAGTTTTTCGTCTTGCGAGGCATTCGTCTTGCGGGGCACCACTGTAGCTTCAAGGACAGTAAATGTTCATTGAACTTCAGAGCAAGGTCCTTGCAACATTCTTTTCTTGAACGTGCATTGTTCCCTGTTCAGTGAAGAACTGGAATAACTTTTTCATATCTGCAGAAAGCCAAAACATTAATCAGTCCTCCAGTGGTTTACCATTATTCTTTCTTTCATGTTTCCTTAGCAAAGTGTATCTCAGGGAATTTGGAAACTATCTTCCAACTCTGTGACTCAAAATTAGAAGACCATTAACCATGTGCATTAGATTTGAACTAAGAGGTGATGAGGAAAGGAAAATGAGAGGGTGGTGGTAGCAGAGACTCCAAGGTAGTAGAGTGAGAACTCAAAACAGTGGCCCAGCTTGAGTGATCGTGTGTGTGTGTGTGTGTGTGTGTGTGTGTGTGTGTGTGTCTGAGTAGGATTAGTGGGGGAAATGGAAGCAGGACTTGCAGTTGGGCTGTTCTGGAAAGGCAGAAAAATGGCATGCAGTGTGTGTCTTGTGGCTCTTCGGCACACCAGTATTATTTGGCTGTAGATAAGGAACTTTGTCAGCCAATGTTATGGAATGTTGTTTCTCCATTCAGGTCATACCATTCGTCCTATATGGATGAAGACTACGATTCCCTGGCCCTTTGTGACCCTATGCAGAGGACAAACTGTGAGGTTGACAGCCTGCCCGAAAGCTGCTTTGACAGTGGCTTGTCTACCTTGAGAGATTCAAATGATTATGATTCAGAAGTGGAATCTAAACACCAAAGGATTTCTCAGAGGCCACAGGGTCTGCGTGAAAGCTTTACGGGTGATGCGTCTGATACAGATGTAAGTCCAGACTTAACTGCATTTTAAAAAGAGACAAAATTATTACTTGCTACCTGTTCAGCGAACCCAACAGTTTCATATAAGTAAGAAATAAAGCACTGGGTCTGAGTTATTACTGTGTACGCACAGACCAAAAGGGGGAGGAATCAATATGTGGCTGTGAGGTTTATTTTGTGGAATGGTTGCTCACACACGTCTGATTTGTGAGTACACAGAATGGTTTTTGTAGAGACCTGATTAAAATAAAATGAAATTCATGAATGAAATGTATGCTAATCCACAAAGGACAGCATGTTTGATATGGCAGTGATCTACTCAAGGCCCACATATCAGAGAGAATGATAACCATCTATGGTAATTTGCAAGCCCCCCAAAAATCAAGATTGTGGAAGCCACTTCTTAGGTATTATGGAAGCGTTCTTCATATGTTTGAAGGCTACACCATATGGAAGGGGAAGGGGGCTGTACTGTGCCCCATCCCATAGATCATGTAGCTCCTTGGCTCTGTGTCTCTCGCCCTCCCCTCATCTCCATTCATTGAGTATGGTTGTTTGACCAGTACTTTTCAGTACTGGCCCCAACTTGGTGGAACGCTCTGTAACAAGAGACTAGGGCCCTGCGGGACTTGACATCTTTCCGCAGGGCCTGCAAGACAGAGCTGTTCTGCCTGGCCTTTGGTTTGGAATCAGTCTGACCCTTATGTTTCCCTCCCCTTGTGGTTTTGATTTATGGGCTTCTATTAAAATGAGGGTGCATTTTAAATTGCATTTTAACACATATTTTAATAAACTGGTTTTTGTTTGTTTGTTTGTTTGTTTCCCCCCTATTTTGTTTTATTGTTATTTTATTGGTGTTAGCTGCCCTGAGCCCGGCTCTGGCCAGGCAGGGCGGGGTATAAATAAAAGTTGATTATTATTATTATTATTATTATTATTATTATTATTATTAATGATAACAATATATTATATTGCGCAGAAAAGGCCATGCATAAGTTGCAAACCCTGGACATCAGGGAGAAGATAGCCTTCCCTGCTCTGCTAATATTTTACCTCTGTGTCAGTGTTTCTCAGTCTTTTTTTAACCTTTGCCCCCTTTTAGCCAACAAAATTCCACGACCCCTTAGAACCTGGCTTCCCTAATTGTTTCATTTGGATTTTCAAAATGATTGAAATAGTGTGACTTTTAATTATTGCTACTTAACATTGTACATATTTTGGGGAAAACCCTCTCTCACACACCACCCCCTGCCTGTAATCTTTTTACTCTTGCCCCAACGCTGCAATGTTTATATCCTGTCTCTGTTGAAAATGCAGTGTGAAGTTAGAGACACTGCTGTGTGCTTTGATCCACTTCTGCCCTTCCTAAGGCTGATTTGAGGTCATTGTGGAAGTTGGTAACACTTGCTGGTCTCTGCAGGTCCCAGATATCCGAGATGAAGAGGTATATAGTCCTGATGACGTCGGCACGGTCTTGGACTGGAAGCCCACCCACCCAGTCAGTCGAAGCAGCTCTGGAGCTTCAATAAGGAAATGTCTCCCTGTCATGTCTCCACAGGTATGTCTCCACAGGTTTCACCTGAAAGCCAACAGATACTTTTGACCTGGGGTGGAGAAATTTTTAGTCTGAGGACCCCCCTTTCAGCTTTAGACATATCTAAGGACTTGAACATGGGTTGCGGGTGGCTCTGTGGGTTAAACTACAGAGCCTAGGGCTTGCTGATCAGAAGGTCGGCAGTTCAAATCCCCGCAATGGGGTGAGCTCCCGTTGTTCAGTCCCTGCTCCTGCCTACCTAGCAGTTTGAAAGCACGCAGTGCAATTAGATAAATAGGTACCGCTCCGGCAGGAAGGTAAACTGCGTTTCCGTGTGCTGCTCTGGTTCGCCAGAAGCGGCTTAGTCATGCTGGCCATGTGACCCGGAAGCTGTACGCCGGCTCCCTCTTCCTGTAAAGCGAGATGAGCGCTGCAACCCCAGAGTCGGCCACGACTGGACCTAATGGTCAGGGGTCCCTTTACCTTTACCTTTAAGGGCTTGAACTGAACAGTGTAGTATTTGACTAGTATTCTTTTAAATGGCAGGTTTCCTCCCTGTCACCCTGCTACCTCACGAAATTTAAAAACTCATGCTTGGTTTCTAAAGACATCTGCCAGGTGACATGAAGGGCAGCTGTTTAAGAAAGACAAGTCTGACACTCCATTGGATGGTTTGGAATAGACATGTGCTTCTGTCTATTGAGGATGCAAGCCGCCGTAGGAATGAGATTGTTGACTGTAGACGAGAGGCGGTTTGTACTCTTCATGAATGTCAATCTTACGTGTGTTTGTTTGCCCTTAGTCGGACTCTCCAGACTGCAGCTCCAGATACCCAAGCTCAGAGAAAGCTTACAAGATAGTTCTTGCTGGGGATGCAGCTGTTGGAAAATCTAGCTTCCTTATGAGGCTTTGCAAAAACGAATTTCGAGGGAACACCAGCGCAACTCTAGGTATGTTCGTCGGATTTTTCCCTTCTGGGGTGTCAGCACCCTGGTCACAACAGATTGGAGTGATATTGTATCACTTTTGAAGGAGGCTTGAGCCAAAACCCTAGGTTTAAAATATAAGCAGCAGTGGGTGTGTTCTGCTCCCGATGGACACAGTAGATATGTGTGTAATATGTAGCAGGCAGCTCCCTATCTTACCTTGCTTTTTCTTAACTAACTGCAGGCAACTTTCACTGTAAAGGCAGCAATTCAGGATGGGAGCCTTGTTTATTTAAGCAGCCAGGGACCTTGGGGGGGGTGTGGAGTTCCCACTGGCACAAACGGGGTCTAATTTTGTAAGACCACTCACCACATGGTGGGGGGCAACCTCCATTCGAATCACTGGCAGGGGGTTCGACTCTGTAAATAATTGCTGCCTTTATAGTGAAAATTGGGCTCCTTGTCCCTGCAGTTAGTTAAGAAAAAACAAGGTACAACATAGCTGCCTGCTACATATGTTAAGGAATCGGGCTCTGCTGCACCAGTTAAGGAAGAACAAGGTACACCAGGCATAGGCAAACTTGGCCCTCTAGATGGTTTGGGACTACAACTCCCATCATCCCTGACCACTGGTCCTGTTAGCTAGGGATGATGGGAGTTGTAGTCCCAAAACATCTGGAGGGCCGAGTTTGCCTATGCCTGATGTACACAGCTGCCTGCTATGTGTATCTGAAGAAGTGTGCATGCACACGAAAGCTTATACTAGAACAAACTTAGTTGGTCTATAAGGTGCTACTGGACATTTTTTTTTTAATCTTTATTTCACCTGCTATACAGTGAGGGTGTCTAATTTGACCTGGCTGCCATTATTGTGAAAGGAAGAGGCACAGTTTGGACCCTTTGTCCTATAGCAGAGATAGAGGAGGAAAATGACAGCCACCCAGGAGGCAACAACCACTTGAAGAAACCATGGTTGGAATGGGGATGGGGAATGAAGCCTCCCAGTAACTTGCCATTAGCCAAATATTGTGAGACTTCTGCATGAATAAAGGCTTCCCCACTCTCAGCCCTGTGGGCTAATTGTATTGTGAAGGTGAAAGGCACCATTTATATACAGTGGTACCTCGGCTTACAGATGCTTCAGGTTACAGACACTTGGTTAGAGACTCCGCTAACCCAGAAATAGTACCTCGGGTTAAGAACTTTGCTTCAGGATGAGAACAGAAATTGCGAGGCAGCGGCAGCGGGAGGCCCCATTAGCTAAAGTGGTACCTCAGGTTAAGAACAGTTTCAGTTTAAGAACGGATCTCCAGAATGAATTAAGTTCATAACCAGAGGTACCACTGTATTCCAGTCCTTCTTTAGCTGCTGCAAGTGGTGTACATTTTTACTCTGTTATCTGTATTCTGTGCACGTGGATTTTGTAAAGATGATAAAATGTGCAATGATCAAATGCACTTACGGTCTGTTAATGGAGAATCTCATTTGAGTGACTGTTGGAAGACAGCATTCCTGTCAACCAGTAAGTGTCTGGGTGGGGCACTTAACATTGACTTTGCTAAAACCACCTTACTATTATTCACTTGTAACTGCATCAGTGATGCAGTTTTTAATCTATGCCAGGCATGTCCAACTGGTTGATCGCAACCTACTGGTCAATCGTGGGGTGCCCCGGTCAATCTTTGGAGCAAAACAAACAAACAAATAAATAATGGGTAGATCACTGCAGTCTTTTCATACTGTGAGTAGATCGCAGTCTCTTGGGAGTTGGACGTGCCTGATCTATGCAATCTGAAAATGCCCATGGCTTTTTGTATGTTTCTTTCTCTTAAAGGTTATGTTAAATAGAAGTACTATCAGTATATGGAAATGGTGTCATACCTGTGCCAAGTATTGAAAAATGTAGTTAATATAATTATTTCTGCATATATTTTAATATTCATTAACAGGAAAGTAATCAGGTGTAGCCAACATGGGCCTCTCCAGCTCTTGTAGACTCCATCAGACTCAGACAGCATGACCCATGGACAGGGGTGATGGGAGTTGTAGTTCATCAGCACCGTGAGGACACCATGATGCTCACCTCAACTTAAATTAAATATTGTCATCACAATTGTCGTAGAGTTATGTCAGAGTGTCTTCCAGATATTATTAGACTCCAAGATGGCATGGCCTGCGGTCAAGGATGATGGGGACTTGGGAGTCCAACAATATTTGGAGGTTGGGCCAAGCTGCACTAAGTTATTCCTCTGCCTTCGTTTTCTTCTACTCTGTTAAAGGTTATAATGGATTCTGTATTTTTTTTTTTTAAGGTGTTGACTTTCAAATGAAGAGGCTCATTGTTGATGGGGAACCTACAGTGCTGCAGCTGTGGGACACGGCGGGACAAGAGAGGTTAGTGTGATCTGGGGTTGTACCTTGGGGTTAGATCTCATACCAAATTTCAAAGGGAGAAGCAATAATTAAGATCAAATCTGTGAAAATGCAAGCCTCAGTCTTGACCTGTACTTGCATAAAATTGGATTGAGTTTGCTGCTGTGCAGTGAAGCTGGTTGAAGATATCCATGCGATATATGGGTTAAAGCCTCAGCGCCTAGGACTTGCCGATCAAAAGGTCGGCGGTTCGAATCCCCGTGGCGGGGTGCACTCCCGTCGTTCGGTCCCAGCGCCTGCCAACCTAGCAGTTCGAAAGCACCTTCGGGTGCAAGTAGATAAATAGGGACCGCTTACCAGCGGGAAGGTAAACGGTGTTCCGTGTGCTGCGCTGGCTCGCCAGATGCAGCTTGTCACGCTGGCCACATGACCTGGAAGTGTCTGCGGACAGCGCTGGCTCCCGGCCTATAGAGTGAGATGAGCGCACAACCCTAGAGTCTGTCAAGACTGGCCCGTACGGGCAGGGGTACCTTTACCTTTACCTAATGAATTGGGATTGTTATTAATTAACAATATGGTCAGGGAGATTGCAACTTTTCTATAAACATTTTCCCACTTGTGTATTACTATGAGGATCTGGGGGTGGGAAACCAATAAGATCAATATAATTCATTATATTTTTGCAAATTTCATTTTTCCTTTTTTTTTGCCATTCCTACCATATTTCTCGAAAGTTATGTACAGAAAGGCTTCCTAGTGCATCATAGTACATTTATATTGAAATCCTTCAGCCTTGGATGCTGAATGCCTTGAGGCAACATACCGTGGTTTTCATCAATTTTCCTTTTCCATTATATTAAAACTACTTTGTACAACGCAGGATATTCATTCAATGCAATACATTTATACATAAAACATGAGTGGTGGCATGTTTCAGGGAGGGAAAGAGACCCCCAAATTAATCACACATATGACTCTGTGGAGGTGTATTAATAACTAAGTCATCTTTAGACCGGATGGCATCTCTGCACCAACTCAGGAAGCTTTCAGTATAGCCTTAACTATATAACAGTATAAATGGGCACATATATTTCCCATTCAGGTTTTTTATCTGTACAATTTAAGGATAATTCTGGCATGTTAGCCTTTAAAGTCCAGTCTGGTCCTGGGCTCCCCATCAACAATGTTTGAATCGTGCCATTACTTTCAATGCCTAATGACTGCAGCTTATACAATCTGCATTTTTTAAAAAAATGAGGTGCCACCTTCCTTAAGTTTAAAAGTTAGCACAAAAGTTTGTACATCTTGCACTAGGTCAGTAATGGTGATGCTAATAGTATCCAAACCAAATTCTTGCTACCCATCAGCATTCAGGGGTCCAGACACTGGGATGCTTTGCTTTCTGTTTCCTTGGAGGCGGGTTCTTATCTTAGAAAACTTGGCCACAGTTTGGACTAGCGGGTGCCTCCCACTTGCCAATATTTCTCCTGCCTGCACAACAAATGGATTCAGGTCTCTGGGTCTGGTCTACTGAGTTCATTGAACTTGTGTATAGATCAGACTGGAAAAAATAATAACAAAAGAGTTATTATTAGTGTGGTAAAACCTAGTGTGGTTTTAAATGTAACTTTCTCTTAAAAGGTTCCGAAGTATTGCTAAATCGTACTTCAGAAGAGCAGATGGGGTACTTCTACTATATGACGTTACCTGTGAAAAGAGTTTCCTGAATGTACGAGAATGGGTGGATATGATTGCGGTAAGGATTTTGGCCATGTGAAACCTGGCATGCTTCCAACTCGGTGTACATAAGATTCCCACTTAAATCCAGTGAGCTTCTTCTGGAGAGCTGTATTTATTTGTGAGACTGACACCTGACCAAATTCAAAGGAGGTCACTGGAACAGCCAATAAGCTGATTGGCAATTTCAGGGAGCCCCTTTGAAGTCTGGAAGAAGTAGCTATGATTCAAACTACTTTCTCCAGATGCAACATTTTCTCCTCCGCAGATGTCTGCGGGGGAGGGAGCTCCATTGTAGAGCAAGTGGTTGGGAGTCAAACTGCTTCTCCCAAATGGAGAAAGCAAACATGCTCAATTGCACTAGGGACTTCTCAGCTGGCAACTCCCTAGTGGGGATCCCTGTCAGTGCCCATCAGTTCCTTCACATCTGTGGCCACACCTGCTCCCACCTCAAATCACACCTGACATCAGGAGTGGGACAAGTGGGCATGGTTCCTCACCGGATTAGGTTGTAAGAGGGATTTGGTACACAGGTAACTGCAAGCATTGCTCTGAGCCACTGCAAGTCACAGGAAATGTCTGTTGCTTCCCTGGATAAACAGCCAATTCATGTATTGACTCGACCAATGTAGGGCAAGCACATGCTTTCATTAATAAAGGCTAAATAAAAAATTGACCAGGAGGGTTGAAGGTGGGATGTTCTTTTCTGTTTTTTAAAATGGAAACTCCCTTTGTTTTTAAATGTTATAATCAGATAATTCCATTTCAGTGTGGTTACCGTATTCAGTATAGCTTGATAAATGTGCCTGTTTAATCTAACTGACATCCATTGAAATTTGGCCTTGTACTTTTTGACAGCAGAAGTTTAAATGTTTAATTGGAGCTTAGTGTCTCAAGCTCCAGCAACCCCTGAAACCGAAAACAAACTGTGTTCTTGCAGGATGCAACCCATGAAAACATTCCAATCATGATGGTAGGCAACAAAGCCGATCTTCGCCAGGTGCTTGCTGAGCAAGGACAGAAATGTGTGCCGATAAACTATGGAGAGAAGCTGGCCATGGTAAGAACTACAGAACCCATCGCTCACAGTCAAGAAAGACTTGGCAGTGGGAAGGGGAGGATTGGATGAATGTATTAAAATGATAGTGTCAGATCTTGGATTTACGAGAGTCAAGTCATAAAGAACTGAGATTGTAATTCACTTAAAAACATTGGTATTGGATGACACTTAATAAGTGCTTAGTTTGAAATGTGCTGCAAATTTATGGTTTGTCACTGGCTGGTGTTTTGGCAACCTTTATTCAGGTAGGTACCTCAAAGCACGCAGAAACAACTGTGGCTAGTGAACTGTACCTCCTGTAGTAATAATAATAATAATAAATTTTATTTATATCCCGCTCTCCCCAGCCGAAGCCGGGCTCAGAGCGGCTAACATCAAATGTATAACACATTAACATAAAATCAGACAATCAATTAAAACACACCCTCAAATCAAATCAGGATCAGAATAAAATCCAGTCGGATGGCAACCTGCAGATTAGGGTTGGGGACCTTAAATGCTCACCAGGCCCAACTGTTTGTGCTGAACTTATATGGGCCTGTGAGAAAACTGGGAGGCTACTTTCATGCATGTTCTTATGAAAGGGGAGAGGGAGTCAGACTGAACCCCGACCAAAGGCCTGGCAGAACAGCTCCGTCTTGCAGGCCCTGCGGAAAGATGTCAAGTCCCGCAGGGCCCTAGTCTCTTGTGACAGAGTGTTCCACCAGATTGGAGCCACAACCGAAAAAGCCCTGGCTCTAGTTGAGGCCAGCCTAACCTCTCTGTGGCCTGGGACCTTCAAGATGTTTTTATTTGAAGACCGTAAATTCCTCTGTGGGACATACCAGGAGAGGCGGTCCCATAGGTACGAGGGTCCTAGGCCGTATAGGGCTTTAAAGGTTAAAACCAGCACCTTAAACCTGATCCTGTACTTCACCGGGAGCCAGTGCAGCTGGTATAGCACCGGATGAATGTGATCTCGCAGCGAAGACCCCGTAAGGAGTCCCGCCGCGGCATTCTGCACCCGCTGGAGTTTCTGGGTCAGTCTCAAGGGCAGCCCCACGTAGAGTGAGTTATAATAATCCAGTCTGGAGGTGACCGTCGCGTGGATCACAGTGGCTAGGTCAGGGCGAGAGAGGTAAGAAGCCAACTGCTTAGCTTGGCGGAGATGAAAAAATGCCGCCTTTGTTATAGCTGCAATCTGCGCCTCCATGGAAAGGGAGGTGTCAAAGATTACACCCAAACTCTTAACGGACGGTGCTGGCACTAATTGCACCCCCGCAAGAGATGGGAGTTGCCCCCCCAATCCCATATCGTCCCTTCCCAGCCAAAGGACCTCTGTCTTTGAAGGATTTAGCTTCAACCGGCTCCCACGTAACCATCCAGCCACAGGTTAGCTTCTTCCCCGGTGTTCTCATGTCTTTTAATGAATTTATTGGAAGGAAAACTTCCATGCATATGTGCATAAGCCTCTTCTGCTTTTGTTTTTCCACCTAGACCTACAGTGCGTTGTTCTGTGAAACAAGTGCTAAAGATGGATCTAATATTGTGGAGGCAGTACTTCATCTTGCTCGGTAGGTTGAAAGATACGAATGACTTTTTCTTAACCCCATTTGCACTGTTTCTCTTTTTGGGCGAGGGGAGTCAGATCTGCTAAATGGCATTTCACGTCTTAAAAAAATAAAAATCTGCACAGATGTTCTTTCTGTGTAAAATGAACATGAACCTTGCGTTACGTGCCATGGCGTCTCCCGGAGAGCTACTTCCCAGGAGGACGTCATGTGCGAAATACCTGTGTGCTCTTGTTTCATGCGCTGAGCGATACATTGTTTTCTCATGAATTCCTGTGTGGAATTGCTTTCTGTGCAGGAACTTTGTAACTTAGGAAGCAGCCTCAAAGGGCTTTTGAAACCTTAAGCAAAGGAACACACTGTACCCTAAGCCTCTTAATAATTGTCTTCCAAATTGTAACAAATGCTGTTTGTTTCAGTACCCAAACATAAATTATTTGTCCCTATGCTGCTTGAAATATATGGCCTTTCATACGAAAATATTAGGTGGTTTCTGGAATCATTTTTCTACATTTTACGGCAAGCTGTTTTGTTTTCAAAAGCCCTTCTTGAATTAATAAAAATAAGTATTTGGATTCCTGGAAAGAGGCAACGCTGCTTGTTCATTCGGAGCACAGCGAAAAACCCTTATCTTCCAATGGCAACAGGTGCAGCAGAGGTGTAACAATCCACTTATCTGGAAGTATCAATTCAAAGTTAATTGTTGCCTTGTGGTATGATTCATTTCCAGGAATTTTCAGGCGCTACCCTTTAAATAGCGCAGTGCATTAGAGATTTCCAGGGAGCAAGTACAGAGCAATTATATAACCCAAACAGTTGATGGAAAACAGACCTCTTAGTTCTAATTTTCAGACTACTAAATGAATTATCCGAGACCTGAAATGTTCTCCTCTTTATGACAAAATGGAGATTTTAACCATTTTGTTCATCCTAGAGTGGGAAACCTGTTTTCTGGGGGTTATATTTGAGAGTGGTTGCGGACCATGAATAAACATACTCCAAAACTCTAGAGGTGCTTTAGTGGTGATCTTTCCTGACTGCTTCCAAACTGAAGAAAATAATTTGCTTGCTCCAATAATGTTTCCAGGGGAAGCTGAGGAGGACTCCTCCAGATATTGTTGGACCAACTCCCATTGGCTCCCATCAGCATGGCCAATGTCAGCCATGATTAGAATTGGAATACAGTGGTACCTTGGGTTACATATGCTTCAGGTTACATACGCTTCAAGTTACAGACTCTGCTAACCCAGAAATAGTGCTTCAGGTTAAGAACTTTGCTTCAGGATGAGAACAGAAATTGTGCTCCAGCGGCGCGGCGGCAGCAGGAGGCCCCATTAGCTAAAGTGGTGCTTCAGGTTAAGAGCAGTTTCAGGTTAAGAACGGACCGCCGGAACGAATTAAGTACTTAACCCGAGGTACCACTGTACCAGCAAGATCTGTGAGGCACCACATTGGTTACCTCTGCCACAGCCTCTTGAGCATGTAGATTATAACACTGCATTTAAATTTCTCTACTTTTACATGGTGAAGGACCATAGATCTGTGGCAAGGGCCATTGTGCATGGAATGTCCCAGGTTCAATCTTTTGAGTTCTCATGTTGAAAGTATCTCAGGTAGCAGGTATTGAGAGAGGCTCATCTCTCTCTGAGACCGTGAGAGCTGAACAGGGAATGAATGGGGAACATGAATGGGGCATTTGTGGTTCCTCCAGATGTTGGTGGACATGGCCCAATGGTCAGGGGTAAAGGGTTTCCCTATCCCTGGAGCAAACATTGCCAGGCTAGATGGATTAATAGTCTGACCTGGTGTAAGCCTGCTTCCTATATTACCAAGAGCAAGTAGGACCCAATATAGCAAGCCGTTCACAGGACTGCAGAAAGTAAAGGCAACCCAACTACATGTTAGAGCAGTACCTTGTGTTAGGCCAACCAGAATGTCACAAAATAGTGTGCAAGTTGGAGAACTTTTTATGAGGCTAGATAGTAAACAACAAGGGGAGAGAGAGGAAGAGAAAATCCTGGCTGATAGTGAATCCATGGCATGTGAAAGGCAGCTAGCAGACTCAAACGTGGCCCGGTTGAGTATGCAGGTTTTGGGTTGTAGTCAGGTCTGCTAGTAATCATACCAATCTATTCTTTTTCAGAGAAGTGCGAAAAAGGAGTGACAAAGAGGAGGACAAGTCTGTGACAAACCTGACTGGGACATCATTAAAGAAGCCGTCTCTCACCAAAAACTGCTGTGGTGTTTAGAGACAATCCAGCCCTCTTTTTGCCCCAAAGAAACAGATTTCTGTGGCTGGGGCAGAAAAGGAGTAATGAAGGATTTAGGCATAGAGTGTTCTGTAGAGAAGAACCTGAGAACCATTACTCTTGAGTTGCCACATCCATTGAGCAGCTTCAGATGCTTTGGAAGGCTGTTGAGCAAAACCAAGCCAGGGGTCTGGGACCTTCAGTCCAGAAGCAGAGCCAGACACTCCCGGGGCATTGGTTCCTGTGTGCAAGAACCAGCTGCAAACCGCCTGTGCCTTTTAAAGACAACCTGCCCAAGAAATGTTGAAGCAAGGCATCCTCTTTACTCGAAATATACATGTAAATATGTAAGTTCATTCTCTGACCTCCTGGGAGACATTTGCTGCTGTTCGTGAAATTTCATCCCCGACCTGAAACTTGCTCCATGTCTATTTTGAGTGGAGTTCTGCAGTTCTTAACTTCCCCCTGCATTCTGCGCTGCATTGGGTTCTCAAGGAAACATGGCGGCAGTCAACCTCTAGGCAAATGAGCCTGCATTGGAAAGGAAAACGTGGCTGTGTCAAAAGCTAAACTTATCATGCATCCCTGACATCATTTAGGAACTTTGGGGAAGAATTCACCATTCAGGCTTGCTTCTCCTTTTAGAAGCCATACATGTCAGTTGACCAGGAAAAATGAAATGTGTCTTAGCTGTCACTGTGGTGATGAACCCATGTCTGGGCTGTACAGCTTTGGAGTGCTCCCAGTTGCAGGGGATGTGTGTGTAGTAAAATGTAAATTAAGCAGGTTTTGAAGAAGGCTAAGCTAGAACCTCTTTCCCCCTCAGGCATCTTGTTTTCTGGGTGGAGAAAATCCAACTAAGTTCTAATCAGAGTGAGCCACTGAAATTCATGGGTGGAAGTTAGTCATGCCTGTCAGTTTCAATGACTACTGTGAGGACTAACAATGGATATAGTCCAATTTTTGTTACTGAAGAGAGTTAATTTGTGTGCATCCCACATCTCAAGAGGTATAGCCCAAGCACAGGCTCATGACCCTTGTGAGAACTAGTGCTTAGGTCTGTCATGTGCCCTTTGTTGAAAGACCTGCTCCCCACATGTCAGTATTCTCATAATGCAGTGGAGTTAAATATGGGTGTTTTCTTCCCACCTTCAAAATAATGAGCTCTAATGCTAACTGATTTAGATCAGCAGCTTTCACAGGCTGCACCCTAAGTAGTCTGTACTTAGCTTAGGCAAACAGCTGATCCAAGCCTCTGCAGCTCATCTGGAAATGGTTAAGTTTGCAGTGGGCCTGAGTTTAAACAATCTAAAGGGAAAGAAAGGGAAAGGCCCCCAACAGATGAAACAATGGAGAACAAAAGCTCTTACATACAAAATTAGAGGGTTGATTCTGACCTCTGTTACTGATAACTACTACCTGGAGCGAGGGCTTTTTTCTGACCTGTGGAACGGGAAGTTGGTGGAGATTTGTACACGCAAAAGTTTGTTGACTGAGCTAAGAAACTTGGGCTCTTTTATATACATGTTAAATATTTTACTGCATTTATAGGTTCATATCTTTTTCCTTATAACTAATTTATAAAAACTAGTCTATTTTTATAGATGTATAGATTTTATTTTGCTTTCCCATGCTTTATCATAGTGAGGAAAGTGTTTGCAATTGAAGCATTTGTTAGCTGTTCATGTCTGTGAAACTTACAGCAACCTAGAAAACTAGTCTAAATTCTGCAAGTCTCAATAGAACTGCCTGGGTTGTGAGGGGTGGGTGCACTGCTTTACTTGTAGCTCAGGAGTAGCCAATCTGTGGCCCTTGGGATGCTGTTGGACTTCTGTTCCCTTCAGCCACAAGCCAGCACAGTCAGTAGCCAAAGATAACAACCTTTGGAGGGCCACAGGTGCTCCATCTTGGTGTAAGCAATGTATCCAAGGAAAAACTGCAAACAGAGAATTGGGGACAATGGAAATGTTTAAAATTGGGGTGAAATGAAAATACAAATGTTTGTAATTCAGCCAACTCGGATGCAAATCTGTGCTGAGTAGAGCACTGGAACTGATTTGCATGTTCTCCTTTTATACATACATTTATACTCAATCCTAACAATCGAGCCCAGAATTTCCAGTTTTCACAGGTTGATTTATTTTAAAGATTTCTAGGTGTTATTTTAAAGCACCAGTGGCAGTAATCTTGAAGCATTCACGGTTATGGGTTACAAGTCTGATATGCAAACAAAAATTGAAGTGTTAAAATAAGTATAAACTACTCAGCATCAGGGCTTATACAAGTCTTTGAAATGCCTTTACAGTAGCAGGGGCCGCCAAACCCAAGTACTGGTTTTGTTACCTCGACAACAGCCAGCAGTTTAAAACCAGCATGATTGCACTTTTGCAACTTTAGTTTCTATATCTGAAGTTGCCAACTTCCTAGCAAATCATCCTTTATAGATTGGAGCGGTGCAAATACTAATCCTGCCACGTGCCAAGAAGTCCCTGTCTATTTCAATGGAAAGAGCGGTTCCATTCATGCCATGAAATGTAGTACAGGATTGCGGAACCTGTGTCCCTCCAGATGTTGTTGGACTACCACTCTTTCCATCCCTGACTGTTGCCCTTGCTGGCTGGGGCTGATGGGAGTTGGAGTCCAATAACACCGGAGGACCGCGGGTTCCCCATCCCTGCTGGAGTGCAGGAGATCTTTTCCTTTATCCTCCACTCACAGCAACTCATTGCACAATGTGGGACACTGGACTGGGACATGCCAGCCCTGAATATGTTTGTGCCCATATGTTTGGTTAGCAGAACTCAGCCACTTTGTACAACTAATTTTCTTGTTGATTTGTTGAGTACTTGTAGTCTTAACTGCAAAAGTAGTCTTTATTTATTTAGTGACCATGTTACCATATACATGTATATTTATTTTCGATGGAAAATCTTTATATGATTTTGTTTCTCATAAATTATGTACATAAGATTTATTTTTATGCATTTAGCACTTAAATACCATTGTCTGTCACTTACTGTCTTTAGCTTCTGAAATGTTAACACATACCGTGCTGTTTTTAAAGCCAATGATCTTTGTGTTTTGGCCTCCTTAGATAATTGATCTGCTAGCAAAGTGCTTTGGTAGCTGGCCTTTAAACACATGCCAATAGTTTTTATGAGCCAAAATATGCCGCACCAAAATGTCTTAGAATTAAAATGCTCTATAAAACATGAATGAGCACTCTCTTTATTGAAAATGTCATTTTTGAAGTCTTTCTAATATGGTTCTGTTAGGTAGTTGCAAACATTGTGATCCTATGTTTTTCCCACTCAGAAGTTAAGTACTCTTAAGCGTTCAGTGGGATTTGCTCCAGTCTAGGATTGCCATCTTAGTAAGCGTGCCTAATTAAACCATGTGAAACTCTGTTCTGTAAGTCAGAGGTGAGCAGAATCTCAACTAGGATTTCCTGGTGGGCCTCTAGGTGATTTGAAGTATATTGGCATTGGTTTCCGGCTCCTAATTGTTTAAACATGATGACAACACATGACCTCCCCACCACAGAAGAAGAAGAAGAAGAAGAAGAAGAAGAAGAAGAAGAAGCTGGAGGATATTAATCAGGAGTGGATTGACTGATTGATTGATTGATTGATTTGGCATAGGACTGTAAGTTCAGTCTACTTCTGGTGCTCAGAACAAATTCCTGAGCTAAAAATTCTTTCATTCTAAGTGTATGTCTTTGCACTTATTCATTCATTCATTTAAATAATGAATTAGGATTCATTTCACTTTTACAGGACCGTATATTTCCCCCCCCCTCCCCCAACAAAGTTGTATCTCTGTGTATGGATATTCAGTGACTTCTGAGAGGGGTGGGCAAGAGAATTAGGAGGGTGTTTGTTTCTTTAAGTATAAGATGGCGGAGGGTTTCCCTCTTTTACACATCTGAAGAAGCTTTGCCGGCACCTGGCAGGTGGCTTGGTTGCTCTCAGCAGTTCCCACTTGAGTGCAACAGCACCCCACCCCCCCACGCCATAACATGAATATGCGACAGCCCTCCTTCCCCAACACTCAGCTGTTTCCTCACTGCTCAGCTGTGTGGATGCATTGGAGGTGGAGGAGTCCCTGTGAATCGGTTCACCCTGCACAAACCATGTTTCCACATGTCCTGCTCATCCGCTCACAATGTGCACACAGATGGGTGGATGGAGAGGTGTGTGAGAGAAAGAGGGCGATTATCTTTCCTCTATCTCATCCCATGTATAATGTACGTACACACACATACAAACACACTCTGGGTGGGTTGGGGTGTGCACCCGAATGTGTGAGTGAGGATTGGCATCTTGATCTACAGTGAATGCAGATTTAACTTCCCTGGGGCCCTGTCCCTCCCTCTGTCTTGCGTATGTTCTTTAAAAAACATATTAGATGGTAGATAGCAATCACTACAAAATACCAATTGGCAATCTTACTGTCGTGAACAAAGAAACTAAAGGCAGGGCTGTTCCCAATTTTTCTCTCCTTGCAATTTTGTTTTGTCCCTACTAAAATTATCAATACAGACATAATTCTGAATCTAAATGGCTTCATGTTTCAGAGCAGAAAAAAGTTTTTTAAATGGCGTTTTTCTTTTTTAAACTGCATTTTGTCCTCTCCAGTACTATGCAGTGCAATTTTTTTGGTGGTGGTGGGGGAATAAATGGACAGTTTTTTTCCTTCCTCATGAAGGCTCTTTCCTTACCCAAATACACACACTGCACAAAGAGGTGCCACTCCTTTCAAAATACAGGTGCATCAATGGTAAATTCAGATGTGAAATAAGTTGCATCCCAACAACTTGCATATTCACAAAAAGTCCAGGTACTGCAGGAGCTGTTTTTACCCTGATGCCCAACCTGCAATCCTTTGCTCTTTTTCATCTTTCAATGCCCAATCCAATATGGACTCTTCGTTCATTGCCAGGGCCTGCTCAAGACATTTTGGCAGCTGAGGCGAACCACAAAAAGGCACTCCCACCCAGCCAGGAAAGGAGGGGAAAGTGGGTGAAGACCTACACCGGGAACAAGGGGGCCAGATCAAATCAACGGTTTGTGGGAAAGCCTCTCCTCTTCCCAGAGGGGAGGTGTTGTGAGCGGGAATCGCTTCCCGTGTCTGCAGGGTGGTGGTGGTGGTGGCCGGGCCCCCTGCTCATTGGAGTCCTGGACCCGTGTCACGCACTCCAGCCAGCCAATCCGGTGGGCTGGTGGGCGTGGTTTAGCTGTTCAAAACGGCCCCAGGCCCTATAAGCTCCTCCCTGTTTCCGGCTTCCTCAGATCACCCGCCCTTTAGGCTTTGCTTCAGCACCTGACCTTGCTATGGACCTTGGTTGGTTGCCCAAGGGGCTGGTAGGAATTTTTTCCACTTGGCAGATTGGCTCCAGCCGCTTGGTTTTTTTCCTATCTCGTAGCAAATCGCCACAACTTTGTAAGGTTTGGCAGTTAGGCTTTGGAAATGGCGTTGTGTGTCGGAGGGGAGGTTGTGGCCATCACCTACGCCTCCCCTTGAAGGGTATTCCGTTAAAGGAATCCAGCAGTCGTGGTTCCTGCCCGATGCCCAGGTGGTGGCTAGGGCCATAGCACGACCCTCTGGTGACTCTGGGGAAAGCTTCCAGTTGATTTGCACCAACAAACTCCCCCCTACAGGTTGTTAACCCTCGTGTGACTCCCTGCAGAGTGGGCAGGAGTCAAGTATAGTCTGTTCGGATCCAGTGCCTAAGCCAATACCACTCACATTCTGTAACCAATAAAGTTGTGGCCCTTTTTAGCCCATTAACCTAAAATACTTGTGTCCGTGTGTCTTATTTCATCACAACTCGGCTCACAATCAAAGGCTGCTGTCAGAATCACAGTGGGTGGGTGCAAAGTCCAGGAGACCCCAGAGGGCTGCCCCAACCATTTCCTCTCTAGCGATGGGAGGAAAACAGCAGTGCCTCCTATTTACTGAGAAGCCCCTGGAGAAGCAGAATTGGGGGTGGGGACTGCAGAGAAGGTGGAAGATCCGGCCTCCATGGAGTGTCGTTGTCACTCCAACTGCTGCAGCTGTGAATCCTGTTGCCCAAGGCGACCGCCTCATCTTGCCTCATGGGTGGGCCGGTCCAGGCCACTGATATTTGCGGAATTTCCCACTTCCCCGTTTGTCTTTGCAATCCTCCATGCTTTCTTAAATAATTTCTTTTCGACTCAGATGCTTTGGGGATCTCTAGCTATCTTCAGCCACGCAATTTCTCCTGTGCAGGGCGGTGTGTTGCTCGCCCCACCCTGCGACAAACTCTTTTCTCCTTTTACAATCAAATATAAGACCACATGGAGTAATTCAGCCTTTCAGAGCAATCAATTCAGAATGATTTTCTGTCATTGCGATGCAGGCAGCACATCAAACCTTTCAAATCTCACCTTGCAGGGCTTGTAATGAAAATAGCCATGCAGAGAGAGAGAGAGAGAGAGGGGGGGGGCAGGCTTTTGGCTCCTACAAGGAGCTCCTAGCATCATTCTGTGTAATACAGACCAACTTACAGTGTTGCTCACTTACTGTGGTTTCACATTGCTGCCATGGTTTTAGTCAGATTTGCAGATTTTGCTTCCTTTAAAACTCGTACAAGCTAAAACTCCCTTCAGATTTTAGATATAGAGAAGTTGTCCTGTGGTCCAAAAGAACTGAATTCTGCAAATGATAACCAAGGAATTTCTATGGAATAAAAACTTACGCATTTTTAAATATAGTATATAAAAATGCTACCACATGAGGGCAGCATTGCCCAACTGAACCCCTTCTTTTCCAACAAAGATAATACCTCAGGACAGATAGGCATAAAGGAAAATAATCATTAAAAATATATGTTTTTTATTTTAAAAAAAACTAGGTTATTGCAGAGGAATGTTTCAAGCTAAAAGTCTTGTCAGGCACTCCCTCTCCTTCTGGAGGATATTTTTGTTTAACCATTTGACATTAAAAATAAAAAATATATTTTGCTCTAGGCAAAGTCTGGCACATAATATATTAACCTTAGAGTAGTTATTGTAACCCTGTTTGATCAGGTTGGGTGGGTGATTAGAGATATCGAATGTGCATTTTCATGTTTTTCTTTAAAAACACTGTAGACGTACTGCTGTTGTAAATACTGCTTGTTGTTCAGCCATTTGAATTGTGGGGTGAGAAGAGGAATCGCTAATGAAGCTAGGGGCACTTCCAGACTTTCATTATTTTGGGGTGGTATTCAATCACATCCCCAAAAAATCAGGTTGCAAAGTGAAAGTTTATTGGCAGGCCTTGAGCAACAAATCCACTTTTTGCTTTAGGTAAAGTGACAGGAAGGTGAACTGGAAAATGCGGGATAATGCCCTTGTTTTGACACGTCGTCTAACCTCCCTGCAGACGAATCAGAAGGAATGCTCATTAAACAACCAACCTTGCCTAGCCTCTCAAGGACGAATGTGCAATGAATCTGGAGGTACCCTGGAGGAAAAACGCTACTGTGATCCAACTTGTGGTTGACTGTGCCTCCACATTGCAAGCACGCTGCCCAGTAACGGTAGCTTGTCGGTAATATGTGGTAATGGCTTCTTAGTTAAATCATTCCTGTTAATAATAATACAGTAAAATCCTTATTGTGGCAGTGTTGATAGGTTGCTTTAATTAAATCTGGTCACTTGTAGCGCAACTGACCAATCTCTGCTGCTCGGCTGCGTTTCATTTTAATTGCATGTAGAGCACTGAGAACTGAAATGATCAACCTTTAGGGTACTTTCATGAATTACTGGGAAGTCATCTGCACAAATTCTCTGCATCTGTTTTGATGATTGCACTGCCAAAGCATTTTGCAGCTCAAAGCCCAAGTCCTTGCCACCAGGGGTCACTATTCTCACTTGTTTTCTGTTACAAGCCGGGCTTTTTTCCAGCAGAAACTCAGGTGGGTGCCATTGCCATTATTAAGAGAACAAGGGAGGCGTTCATGGTGAGTTTCGGCACCTCTTTTTCTAGAAAAATAGCACTGATTACAAGTATCATTTTTGCACTGTGTATAGCAGTGTGTGAGGGTTGTGTGTGTTTGTATATCTTTTATATTGATCAGACAATAGTTGTATGATGAGCTCATCTTTTCGCCAACCTTGTGCTTTGTTTTGTGGTGTTTTTAAGAAAAAGATGACTAAGGTTTTCATTCATAGGAACCTCTCAAGCGTTAACTGCACACGTACATTATT